GGTGGACTGGTTCTTGAGTAGTTGGATGGTGTCAAGCATGTCCTGACGTGCAACTCCGCTAAGCCCTTCTGCCAGGTCCATGGCCTCGTAAAAGAACAAGGCAGCCTGCCTTTGCTGAGTTTCCTCTCCAGCCAGTCCAGCACCATTTGAGCGCTGCCGGTGATGCTCGTCCACAAGTCACTCTTTGTGTCTTGAACTAGCCACAGCACAGCATTGATTATGAAGCTGGACTTAAGGGCAGTCCCCGAGACGACGCTCTCACCATCGATCACCTGCATGGTCTTCACGGCCTCAATAGTCGCGACTTGCAGAGTACTGAGGTAGCGAATAGCCACCATCAAGGCCCGAGCGAAGGAAACCTGCCAGCACATGTCCTCGGGGCCCTGCCCGGTTTACTCACTGGCACTAGTGGACGCCAAAACGGCACATGTTCTCACGCACGTCCGGCGGCGGAAACTCCGTGACCTGGCGACGACCAAGGAATTTCTCCTTCGCCGGCCACCAGGGAGCACGGAGACACGGCACGTGGTCGACGCCGAACTGTCCGGTGTCTTCGTCCCTGACTTGCACCGCAGGACCGTTGACAGTGACCACACCGCCGCCGTCGCACATTACACGACAGAAGCGGTGCGTCAGCTGGCGTATCGAGCCAGCCGGCAGTGCCTCCAGTGGGCCCTCGTGCTCGCATCGTGTGGTTCGCGTCCAGTGCAACGTCACAAAGCCGGGTGTGTCGGTGGGCTGAGCCCAAACCTGTGGCTTACCCTGCTGGGCGACGCAGTCCGGCTCCTCCTCCTCCAACACGGCGTCCGTCCAGTGGAGTGGACCGAACTCCATCATCACTCATGCTGGGGCGATTTTGTGGCTGCCGAGCCTGCCATGAACAGACTCTGATCGCTGAGGCCGCAGCGGTTCAGATGCACAACACTCAGCTGTTCGCAGCTCTGCTCACAGTAACGACATGTCGGCTCCTGCAGGTCCAGCAGTGTCCTGATGATGGGCTCCTGCAGCAGCCAGCGCACGGCGTCAGCCAGATCCTCGCGAAGTACATGAGCTTGGTGCGCTATGGGATGGTGACCGAGGAGAGTGGTCGCCAGGAAAGGGTGTCTGGCAGCAGGTGGAGGGCAGAGCCGCATCTGGTCGCTAGCCAGTCCACGAGTTTAGCCTTCTTGTCCGGCAGCCTCAGCCGGGCCATGGCCGGAGCACAGCTACACACACTGATTGCAGCGCTCTGCAATGGCGACTGATGCAGCGCGGGGCTACCCCGCGGCCCCAACCCGCCCCGTTCCGTTGCAAGTTGATAAGAAGTCGGGCGTCATGCAGCGTGTCCGCCAGTGCCAGATAAGGTCCCAGGCGTAGGCGGCCAGGGTACTACAGGGTGTTGGGGTAAATGATGGATCATGCCGGGCTGTTTTTCATTCCTCAGACCTCTGCCAGTTTAACTTCGGATTCAGTAATTAGGGATTTAGGCATATCAACTTCTCATTATGATTTCTCTAATCGTGTATCAACATTTCGACACATATCTTTCATGCATGCTTACTCAGCGTTTTGATTCCTACGGGCAACTCCGACCTAAATGACCTAACACTGAGAAAGTATAGGAGATTCAACTTTGAAAAAAAAACGAAAGCCGAAAGCTGCTTATAAACACTTAATCGCCTTTACTAATTTCCATATGCAATTTGGCTAGTCAACAGATGTGTATTTGATAATGCAAAATTGTGAAGTGCCCCGCTCGTGATGAGGACATATCATACATGTTCGTGTTCGTGCACAATATAGAGTTGAACATAGGTGGAGTGATAGCTTAGCTACTGCAACACGCGTTCCGACATCCTTCGTATTGCCCCATCCATGCAAAGCCCGCCCTGCTGTCACCGTTCCGAGCCGAGGGAAGTCCCTCTGAGGTCACCGAGACAGTACCATCGCTCTCGGAAACCCGTCACTGTCGATCAAATGTCGTCGAACTACACAATTAGGGTGGCCCGTGGAAAGCTGTAATACCACCAACGTCCAACTGCCTGCTTTCGTGACAGTTGGCTGAGTGAAGTGTCGATTTCAGTGCTTTCTATAACGGAGTGTGCCATCCGCTAACGTAAAGGGGGAGGGGTCCGTTCGGCCCCTTCCCCCCCTGCTGTTTGACTTCTGATCAAGCTAGAGCTTCGCGGAAAAACGAGTGTGATATACGATATACGTGATGAGAGGATGCCGATAATACCAAATGTTAACCCGGCCGGGCCCGGGGGGTAATCCCAACCACCGCAGCCCGGGGGGGCGTTTTTCGCCCCCTGTCTAACTCCGTAAATAAGGGAGCTACGGAAACAAAAGCGATACCAAACGAAAGGTCCTTACGAGACGATTCTAAAGCACCTAAAATTTTTGACTTCAGGTCAATTTTCAAGGTCAGAGGTCAACGTCAAAGGCAAAAACCGGCTTACATGTATGTGTAGTGATCTCAAAGTAAGCCTTCTAGAGGACGGCAGGCGGCATCAAACCGGCAAAATTGGGTGTCAAACGAAAGAAGAGAGTCTGAGGATTCCGAAAATGTGCTCAAAATCAAAGGTCAAGGTCACGCTCAAAATTGACCTCAAACTTAGCACTTTTTCGCACATCTTGCGTGCTAACTTTCAAGATGTTTTGAAATGTTTTGAGGTTTATCAGTTCCCTATTTGTGGCTCCTCTTACGATACAAGGCTGCTCAAAGGTCAAGGTCACTGAAGAATATCCCTGCTAGAGCTATTTTACTAATTCAAGTTAGTAATAATAAATAAGACAATTTTGCCATCCGGAAGCTCTAAATGAAGGCTTAGAGTAAAATAGATGCCAGATTCGTGATCAGCGGGTATAAATACTTCATAAACGACCTTTCATGTGTCAAGGTCAACCAGAGGTTATTCGAGGTCACATGAGGTCAACATAAAACTTGACCTTTTCCGAACAAAATATATATCATTCGACGCGGCTTGACAAGGCGAATGCGATGGTACCGCTGCCGTAGCTCTAGGACCATTTCTTTCGAAGTTATTTGTGAAAAACTAAAACCACATTTCGGGGTCGTTGACCTGACCTCTGACCTCAGGTCACCAAAACTATTTTTCTATTTTTCTCTAGGTCAAACGCTACACAACCGTGCCCGTAATTTGTCTTTATCTCTAAAACTCTATTTTTAGCAGCTATTTGAAGTTTGCGTCTGTGACGCCGAAGTTTGCCGTGCAGGGGTCTAGAAAAATGAAGCTTGTGACGTCATCAAGGGGGCTATGTCCAAGTTTTTTACTTCAGAAGATGTCAAATTGATGGGAGAAAAGGTACTGACAGTTTCGCTTTCCTATCCCTAAGCGTTCGGGAGCTATCGCAAATATTCGCCAAGGGGGGGGGGGCGAAAAACGTCCCCCCCCCCGGGCCCGCGAGGGTTAAGGTCCTAGCTTATCAGTTGATATTCTAGGTCAGATACCAAATACCAATGGTCCAAATTTGAGGAAAATCGGGACCCGTTAGAACCTCTCGAAGCGAAGCTTAGTCATGTTTTTCGGGGTAATGACTTCCAACTTCGCGTTGTTTTAATCCAGGATAATGTAATCATGCTTTAGGTTAAGATGGGTCAGGTCAAGTCAGGTCAGCCATCGGGCGTCCCGCTGGCTTTGAGTAATAGGTGTTAACCGCCACTGACAGCTTTCCAACATGCTGCATTGGCACCAAAACCAGTGCTCAAATGTTGAAATGAGTGTTATTCGAAATCAGCTCCACACACTACTACACTAGGAAGTCGTAAAGCTAAAATAACCTGTCAGAGGTTATATCAGATGATGACCTTGACTTGACCCCCCCTCGCCGGCACAGGGGGTGGGGGGAGTTGGTGCAGGCGCGGCCCCCCCCCTAAGGGTTTTCTTCGCAAATAACTCGCGTAAAACGCGGCTGATTTCAGTACGACGAAACTTTCAGTACACTTGCGTAACGCATCTTACACATACCCTAAACAAATTCATGACCCTGACCCAAATGACCTTTGAAGTTTGACCTATGACCTACTTTTTGAGACCATGTTGGACCGGAATCGCGATTCGGCGTATATGTTGTCGAGCAGACCCACCAGCCTCTTTATTAGAATGCTCAAGAGATGGAAGTTCTTACGTTTTAGATTGCTTTATTCTCATTTGCATTAATAGTTATTTTGATATAGTGAGTGTCACATTAAAAACAGCCTTCAGTTTCTGCCGGTTAATGCATACATTTTCTGCCGCGTTACCTATTAACCTATTTAGAAACGATCCATGTTATCTGGTATAACACAAAGTGCCTCGTCGCTTCTATTCTGCTGCGGTTTTCCCTGGACCTTGTTGAAGGATTTTGTAATAGTTACAGCGCCCAGTATCAGCTTACTGAATACTGTTCTTCAATGGGTGAGCGTTAGCCGTTACACAATGATTGTAATTGTGAAGACCGATGTTATACACACTAAGTACATAGTAGGCTTACGGCTAATGATGGACAACATCATTAGACCACTGAGCTCTCGCCCACATATGGGGCATGCCAGCCCCTCCCCATGTAGTTTGTATTAGCCTCACCAAACATGTCACCGGCGATGGACTGTGAGCTATTTTCGATGAGAAAGGGTTATGGCGAAAAGACTCAGAATTTTTTCCGATCGAATTCCGGAAATAGCAGCGCTTTATTTTTTTCTCACCTAGAATGGTCTTTGTTTTGCTACGGGGATTTTGAATTGGCATACATAGGTTGACGGATCCGTCGTCCTAAAAAAATATGCTGATGCTTGTTGCAAAATCTCGATCAAGAGCCGAACGGCAGCGGCTTCAATGTCTCTTCTATATTCGATGCGTAGTAACTTAAATGTAGATGTAGGAAATAGGCAATGGGCAAGTATTGAGGACCTCGTTGAGCGTTGGTTGATGTTACAATCACTTCCCGGTGTAAGAAGCATCGTGCGAACATCATTCAGCAGCAAAGAAACATCGAATGCCTATCGCTTGTATGCCACTGTCGTCACAAACACAAAAAAAACGTGAAATTGCCCTGATATCTAACAGCGATGAGGTAATGTCTATTCGACCTGTTTTACCAGAGTCGCGGGATGTCGGAGGTGTTGCTAGCTGTGTACTAGTTCATGGAACATGGTACAGAACAGGACTGACCGGTCGTCAAGCACTCGAGAACGGGGGACGGCGTGAGGAACGATCAGAGGGGAGGTATATATAACACCAGTCGGCAGCGAACAGACATCACATCTTCTTTTGTGTTCACACAGCCAACACAGAGCCAACATGAAGCTGGTAAGTGAGGTGTTGGGTCATGGGATGCCTATTGGAGAGGAGATAAATATCAGGTTATTTCTGCAACCTGAGCTTCCCGGACCAAAATTGCGTTTTATCAAATGGTCCTCATTTCGAAAAAAAGCAGTCAAGAACATTGGTGACTCATTAGCATGGTTGCAAAACTTCAATTAAAAATACAAAATATTTGATTGATTTAAAGACACCGAATCAATTCATTGCATTGCTTTTCTCTAATCCTACGGTTGATTTTCTCTTCAAAATACTTTGATGTCAAGTCCCTTCAGGAAATAATAGCGACGCGGCATTGCCATAGCTAAACAAATATTCATATCTAATCGTTTTTAATCTCACGCGTCACCCTCTGTTCCAGCTCGCTCTGGTCTTCGTGGCTGCGGCCGTGTCGGCAGCCCCGCAGTTTGTCGCCGATAGCCAGCAGTATGTCAGCGACGGTCAGCAGTTTGTCAGCGGCGGTCAGCAGTTTGTCAGTAGCGGCCAGCAGTTTGTCGACCAGCAGTCCCAGTTTGTCAGCGCTCAGCAGCCCCAGATCCGCATCATCAGCCAAAAGTTCGACCAGGACCCGTACGGAAACTACGAGTACGGATACGAGCAGGACAACGGACAGAAGGTGAGCCCGCTACTTGCGGCCGAGCCAGTCATTAACTCTGTTTGTAAGCTTTACTTGTAAGATCTACATTTTTAATAAAACATGCTTCACATGTGCTTATTGCTGGCGATGAAAATTAGGTCAAGGTACATACAATGGGATTCATTCCTGCACTGTTGCCTTGAGAACGTTATTACAAACCGGCAAGTATCCTTAACAGCTGCACTTTCTAGTATCATGCATCCATTTATGTAATCACATGACGTGCACTTGCAAGTCGAACGCTGCCCTGAAAACGACGTTTTTCCTAGAAATGTATCTGTGTACTTACATAGTTAAATCAAGTTACCTCGTTTGAAAGGTTGTGGTATTTTGATGTCCCTACATTCGGTCAAATTAATTGGTATGCCTAGTGCCTACAATTTTTTTATAAGATTTCATCACACCAAATGTGGCGTTTGCGGATGTAAAACAAAGCACCTTATAGATGTGCAAGGAAGACGCATTTCTTTCTCTACAATCTCAATGTGTTGATTACATTCTGCCTGTCTTCCTCTTCTCGTCTGTGATACTGCTCTGTTCAACCATTCCGTCAGCACTGAGCCCCAGTATATTTGTTCTTAATGCACTTGAGAGACTGGCTTTTATATTAAAAAAGAAAAGCAGGACAATCTTTCTTATCTCGCTGCATCGAAAGAGCTGTTTTGTATCTTGATTTTTACATGCGCTGTGTTTTCCTTTAGGTGCAGGAGGTCGGCCGCGTCCAGCCGGGCCCGCAGCCCGACACCGGGTCTTTGGAGCAGCAGGGCAGCTACGAGTACATCAGCGATGACGGCAACACCTACCGCGTCGATTACTTGGCCAACGAGGGTGGCTTCCAGCCGCAGGCCGCCCACCTGCCAGTGGCGCCGGCTCAGATTCCCGAGTACGCCCAGCTGAGGCAGGAGCACCCGGAGCTGTTCTGGGCTGAGAACCAGAGCCAGGGTACCATCATCAACGATCAGCAGTACGTCCAGTCTGAGCAGTTCGCTCAGCAAGGACAGTTCGCTCAGCAGGACCAGTTCGTTCAGCAGGACCAGTTCGCTCAGCAAGGACAGTTCTCTCAGCAAGGACAGATCACTCAGCAAGGCCAGTTCGCTCAGCCACAGCAGCAGATTATTCAGCAGGACCAGTTCGTTCAGCAGGACCAGTATGCCCAGGGTCAGCAGTTCATCGTTTAGGAAGAACGATTTCTGATGTTCTTTCCTGAGTGATATTCTTATGACTTGTGTTGAGATACTTGTCTTACTTTGACAAAAGCAATACACATATAAGTGATACTTATATTCTAATGGCATTTTGGGGCGTGAAGCATCTAATATAGTTGTGTTTTCTGCACGATAAGCACAACTTTTTATAACAGGCACTAAACACAAAAAAAGCATACTACGCTTGTTCCCCACGTGTAAGAAGGAAAGAGCTTTGGATAATAACATGGCATCGTAGCATAAAAAAAACTGTCATTAATTTAATCTAAGGGGCATTTACTTGGAAGACTCTGGAGGATCCCCCACATGATTTGGGATAGGATAATAAAGATGGGACTTGACATGGCTTCTGAAGTCCGATGCTGTTAGCTGCTGTGTCTATGGGTTCAGCACTCTTCCTTGGTGGTCAATACACACTGCACAAGCTTTTGAGTGCTCCGCGTCAATCTGAGCGTGTCTCACGCTTTGCCGGTTTCTGATAGCTCACGCAGGATTTGGAATACCTCGTGTCGACCTTTGAGAGCCTCAAACAGGCTCACGGTATGACGTGCAGGCTCATGATCGCCGAAATCTGTGAGAGCTCCTATGCGGGCATCTGAGGACTCAAAGTCAACTCTAAATACCCAATATCGGCTACTGAGTTGTGTAAGTGGTAAGTATTACAGTGCATGATGCTGTCAGTTACAAAAACATATTTTTCTAGACATACCTTAGATAACCCACGCCTCGTTGAGGTCTGGCAGGTTCCACGTCATGTGTGTGTGTGTGGGGGGGGGGTTGTAAAAGAAAGTTATTTGCTCCAGATCTGCCTCTTGAGACTTCGTAAGATAAAACTTAACATTAACCCTCGCCCCGTTGGGGGGGGGGGGCAATTTGCCCCCCCCCCCCTGTGGTTTTTCCTGAATAGCAAGAAAACGGCGGCGTGCAGCGCCGCCAAATTTTCAGTACTTTCCCGGGCATCAATTTGACACCTTCACACCAAATTTCAAGTCTTAGGTCGCCTTAGGTCAGGAGTTATTGAGGTCAAACTGTGGTCATGTTTGAGCAAAAATGAGCAAAAACTATGCAATCTTGAAACGCTCACCAAATCTACAGTTACTAAGCAATTTCAAAGTTCTTTACATGGTCTAGTAGACAAAAAGCGGCACTACAAAACTGCTAACTCGGATTTTCAAAATTATGTGTTTTTTGACCCCTAAAAATTCAAAAATTGATTTTTTTTAGAAAAACTAAAAAAATCCGAATTTCGAAAAACATCGGAATATATGTGATAGTCTCTGCGCTCTTATATATACATACCAAATTTCAGATCGATATCTCGTTTTTTGGCCAAGTTATAGCGAAAAAAAACTGTTCAAAAATGATGAAGTCAAATTTTTTAACTCAATTTTTAGCGATTCTAGACCACGTAGGGCACGACAAAGACCACCATTGAACTCCCCGGGACGAGCTGCATCGAATCGATACCCATTTTATGCAAAATATCAACTTTGAAATTTGACCTAATTTGACCTGACCTTGACCTGACCTTGACCAAAACGTGACCTAAGCTGGCCCCAAAGGCTGCCTGACCCACATAATCGCATTTGTCATGTAAAATGGACCATAAAACATGCATTAAACGACACTTTCATATTATTGTGACCCCCCAGTGACCTGACCTCTGTGACCTGAGTGAAACTGACCTGGTATCAGTGACCTCAAATAGCAAAATATGTGTTTGAAGGACATTTCCCCATTGATGATTTTCAATGAAATGCATTTTACTCGATTTTACAACGCACTTCTTGAAATGCCTGTAAACGGTGAAAATTCGACCTTTGACCTGACCTGTGACGTCATTGGTTTGACATAGGTCAATAAAATTGGGTCACAAGGTATTTCCCTGATAGGGCTATCCAACACGGTTTGCCGGTTGTCGCTAGGTTGCGTGTAGTGATGTCAGTTACGGAAAATTGGAATACCGATACCAAACCAAATGCCAACCAAAACCGTGGAGAAATACCGAAACCAAACCATTTTGGGAACATGAGGGAAATACCAACTTTTTACCGATTTCTTAGCGTCTTATACATTAGTGGGATTCATGATACCAACAAAATACCAAACACATTAGGATTGAAATACCAAATACCAAGTTGGTATCGGTTTGGTATCGGTATACCAAAAACTCGGTATCCGATTGACATCTCTAGTTGCGTGGTTCTCGAGATCTTAGGGGGGGGGGGGCAAATTGCCCCCCCCCCCCCAACAGGGCGCGTTGCTCGGCAGAGTTACGGGGCGCGGGTTAATTGACACTTTTGGAGGGTCACTTGTTCTCGGCATTGACGATTTTGTTTTATTTTCCCCAAAAATTTCGCGTTATAGATATTATAAACATCTTTAAATGATATTTTGTCTTTATTTTATTATGACCTGCAATTTTTGAAACTGGGTAACCTCTGTCTGTTAGCTTCTAGTCAGTTTTCAATAGTTAGGACTGCATTTTCAGCTGCTTTCCGGAGCACGAGTCTGCTGCCGTACAAGGGTCGTTCAAAACGCTGTTAGTCTCGCATGGGTTCGTCCTTCAAAAAAAAAAAAAAAATAGCCACCGTTTTTATTAGATGATCATCATGTTGAACTCATCCTCGCCGACACTTTGCCATGTCATTTCCGACCTAACCATTCCCATTACTCCTGAAGCAGAGAGTTTCTCAGCCGTCCCGATTTTGCGACCTCCATTTTCATGCCTGATCCATGGTCCCAGGTGAACCCTTTTTGTGAGCTCATGAAGGGTCGAAAGTTGTCCGCTTTCACACTTTATTGTAGTCAATAACTCAAATTCAAATGCACTTTGCAGTGCGCTTAGACATTTTAAGCCGAAACAAAATGCACCATCGTCTTCCTGAACCGAAATCAGACATCATTTTCGTTTTAAATTCTTAGATTCGAAATTTGACCTTAGTTTACCCGATAATGTCATATATTCGCTGAAGTTGTCTGAAAATGGCTTTGGATAACACAGACAACACTTTCATGGCAAAACTTTCATTTATGGCCAAAATTGAAACCATAAACATGTGTCACGTGACCCATACATACTAAAGAATTTCAGTGACCTCGATATCGGTACTGTTGACTTTGATATCGAAGGAAGAAGGCAGCCTCTCCGCAATGACGTGACAAGGAGCACGCTGTCTTCAAATCGCCCTGATCTTCGCTTATTGTATCACTTTTTTCAGAACAGAGTCAAAACAAATAAACGATGGGAAACAGTGCTGTGCTGAGGCCCGCAATTCCATATCGCAGAGAAAGAACAAGTGTATTTCAGTTCAGACAAGTATAATAACACGGAACAAAAATGATAGACGAACATCAGCGTCTAAAAAGACGCTGGCGTCTAAAAAGACGCTGATGACTCAGCGTCTAAAAAGACGCTGATGACGGCGATTTAGCCGAAACGCGTTCGTCTATCATTTTTGTTCCTTGTTAAGAAAGAACAAGATGCAATTGTGCGTTCTGCTTGCCAAACAAGAAGCGGTTGCTGAGCATTTGTATTCACTGCAATGCAATCAAACTCGGCAAACGTAATATCCACTGCATTTAACGTCACTAGCTCACTGACTATTGGTAACAACAACAAGGAACAATATTTGGTGTACACCATGTTACAAACAGAAAACAATATTCAGAGCAAAATTACTGGCACGTCGGCGCCGCTGCCACCGAACTGCTGTTTTCCGCTCGACTGCGGGCTTATGAACTGCTGTGGGACGTTGGTGTTTTCCGGCGACTGGCTGGACTCCTGCGTGAACTGCTGAGCCTGGCTGACATCCTGCTGAACAACCTGCTGAGGCTGGAGGAGATCCTGCTGGACCAGCTGCTGGGGCTGGTCAAACAACTGAGACTGGCTGAAATCTTGCTGAGGCTGAGAAAACTGCTGCTGCTGAACGAACTGCTGGTCGTTGAAGATGACGCCCTGGTTCTCAGCCCAGAACAGCTCTGGGTGCTCCTGCCTCAGCTGGGCGTACTCGGGAATCTGAGCCGGCGCCTGCGGCAGATGCGGAGCACGAGGCTGAAAACCTCCCTCGTTGGCCAAGTAGTCGACGCGGTAGGTGTTGCCGTCATCGCCGATGTACTCGTAGTAACCTTGCTGCTCAAGGCTTCCGGTTTCGGGCTGAGGTCCAGGCTGAACCCGGCCGGCCTCCAACATCTGAAGTAAAACAGGACGATAATGATAGTTAGACCCTAAAGCTGACACTTTCGGAGTAATACGGTACCTCAATTAGATATACTTATGCTAATGATCTATGCATATTACACATATAATTTGTCGTATTATTTTTGGAAAGTCGCTAAGAAAAATTTACGCCTTGCAATGAAATTAGCTACCTAAAATGTAATGCTCCTGCCTCTTTCACAGACTCCATGCAAAAAAATATTCGTATATACGAGCATTCAAAATGTTTTTGTTTCCCTACAAAATACTAGTGGTTGAAAGAAAGGCTTATGCACAAACAGATCTAAAATAATTTACTACACCTGAATTGCGATATTTCTCTCCATCCTTCTTACCCTTTGTCCGTCGTCCTGTTCATAGAAGTACTCGTAGTTTCCGACTGGATCCTGTTCATATTTCTGACTGATGATCCGAATCAATGGCTGGCCACTGATGAGCTGTTGCTGGTCGCCTAATTCAAACTGAGGGGCAGCCGCTGCCACCGCCGCCATCATCAGCATACCAGCCTGGGAAGACAAAGCAGAATGCATAATCAATCCTGCAACGGGAACCGTTGGGAACAGACAACGCAAAGAGGCAGGCCTTCCACAGGTAGCACTTTTAAATCACTATCGTTGTGGCACCACACTAAAACGTCACTCTCATGTTTTGATTCTGTACAACCCAACTCGTCACTGCGCTCACCAGTTTCATGTTGTCGCACTAGACTACCCTCGCACGTCAAGCTGACACCTTGTAATGCCCACTCTGAGTCGACACACGTCATATATACCGGCTTATTCGTCTCCGAGGCCAATCCGGACCAGCCGTCCTGTTTCATATTAGCCGTCGCCCCAGCGCGACAGCCGTCAGCGACCAGCCATAATTGACCGACAGGGCCCAATGTGCAGTCATGCACGTGCGTGAGCGAGAAATACTCGTTTAGCAGCGTTGCTGTAACGTTTACGCAGGTGTGAATTTTTGACACTGGTGTTGAGTGTACGAGTGTAAAATAAACGGATTTTCGGGATGTCGTTAAGTGAAAGGGAGACGACTGTGGATGAAGGAATAGTTTGTTGCTCAATATATATGTTACGTTCGCATTTATATTCGCTGCCTATTGCGTTTTGTGCGTTCAAAACCTATGCTCCGGTCTTTCAACATTGCTAAAAGTGTTGACACCGCGCTAGCACTGTCAGCAACCGTGAGCGTTATAAAGGAAAAACACAGTTTTGAAAACTACAATTATTCTGCTGGTCTAATAAATTTGTTTACTTTTATTTCAAGGAAAGCATTGAAAAACTGAATTATAAGACATGGGTCCTCACGCCAGAGTTCCTTCGTTACCGTGACATGAGAGCAGGGTTGTATACGACTCAATCAATAGCAATCAATTCAATCACGACAAATTTGGGAAACCAATCAAATCAATCAAGTCAGAGCAGTTTTCGGGAATTGATTCAATCGACTCAAACGCGACAATGAAAGGAATCAATCAACTCAATCAAACGACTCAAACCAAGACATACATTAGGTTTTTTGCCCCACCAACTTGGAAAAGTGTCCATAGCAGTCTGATGTACCTACCTACCTACCTACCTACCTACAGAAGAAACATAAAAATATTGTCATTTAAAATTATAAATTGCAATGCCATTCAAAGTTTCTATGTATAAGGAAGGCTAGTGATGGACAGGTGGATCATGATATTGAGGTTCAATGGGTAGAATTGGAGCAGAAGTTTCATTTTATGGGTGCAAAATAACCCAGTAGTTGACTTCAACAAACGCCCCTTAACCCAAATCACCACCTTTCACCTAAAAGTTGTCAATTTAATTTTGGCCATATTCCAGCTAAGTCATCAGGCCATCTACCCCGTGTAAAGCCCCTGTCTGTCTCTTATGTGAGTTATGCGGAGCTCTTCTGAATTGAACCCTGAACATAATGAACCTAGCTAGGTTTCATGCCACACTGACACCATATGAATAATGAAAGTGTTGAAAATGTGCTACAAATTTGACAACTTCATTAGGTATGCTTTATGAAGACAGCAGGACAGCAGGTAGGTGCCTACTTACCTGCCTAGATGTGTCACTGGCTACCAACAGTACCAACGAAGGTAGATAGGTTATATGTGAAGAATTCAAAACATTTTATTGCAATACAATTTGAAACTGTTAGGACTGGGGGATAGGGATGAGCATTAAAAATATATTTAAAAGGAAATGGAGAGGACAGGGACTCGGAACCACAGGATAAGTTAAGGAAAAAGGAAGTAGGGAGAATGAAAATTAAAACGCGAAAACGGCACGGTGCGACTGCGAAAAACGAAGAAAACGTTTTGCCAATAAGTATGCTAAGCTCCCGATTGTTAAGACACTAGTCGCGCGACCATTTATGTGTGCAGCCGCTGACCATCTGTGTGGGTAGCCGCTGCAGCCGCTGACCATGTGATCTGGACGGTGCCAAACATCCAAATGTTGAGTGTGGCATGGCATCGGGCCGGACGGCGATGTTTGTCTGTGTTTTTTTTTTCTTTCGCAGAAGGGATGGGAGAGGAGGGATTGTAAGAGCACGGGGACTAGCTGCTTTTTTGTTTTGATCTGAGTTGCGTGCCTTGTCTCTTTATGAAGGTTTCATGTCTGCGTGAAATAAATGTTTTGAAAAAAAAATGCTAAGCTTTTATAAATCCCTATTCTACGTCTTTTGATTTTTTGGTAAGATGACGTCATTGATTATCATGTAGTATGGTAGATCATCATAAAATAAATCGGTTGTACAACACCAATTTCGTTTTATTTATTATTTCATTTGAAATAAAACCACTTAATAATATTCTGTAAAATATTTTAAGGAAAATGAAATATATTAAATATGTTATGCTTAGGCTCTCAGGAGAAAAGGATCAACAAACGTTCTGCTGCAAATTAAACAATGCAGCAAATTAGCTACTGTAATTAGTGAGACGAAAACGGCGCTTTTGTTTCAGTTATTTTTGTAGGGGTTTCAGATATTTATAGAGTTCAGTGGGTTGTTTCTGAGGAGATGTGGAGGGAGATGTGGAGATGTTAATTATTAATTAATCACACTTTATTAGTATATAGGGCCTTGCACTTTATCATCTGGATTAAAAAAAAAAGTTTCCTGCTGAGTGCAGAAAGGTAGGTAGGTGCATCGTCAGGTTCTATCACCAGGATTGGAGCAGTTATTACAGTTAAAAGTCAAAGTTGGCTGTTCATGTTTAGGCCCTGTTCTTTATTTGGCCATCTACCCCATAATTGCAGTTGTGATGACAAGCAGTTTTCAGTGTAGTTTTGTGATCTTTGATGTCATCAATTGGTGTCATTATTTTTCGTCAACTAAAACTTATTTGAACTTTCCATTCAATCGACTCAATCATACGAGTCACTAATTTTCGGGAATCAAATCAGTCAACCAGTCGCTAAAGTCAAACGAGTCAGTCAACCAGTCATCTCGAAAAGTCAATCGACTCAATCCAATCAACTCAAAATATGCGTTGAATCAAATCAATCAATTCAATCGACTTGATTGGTATACAACCCTGCATGAGAGGTCGTTTGTTCCCCAGATTCGCGGCTACTAATTTCATTGTTGTCCCCACGTTTCTTCAATGTCCTTCACGGGCTTCAATGTCTCCACGTTTCTTCATTGTCTTCAATGACGTCCCCCATCGTATGACGTGAGCTTGTGGAAAGCCACTCCATTGAGTGGATCTGGCTCGAATATATCTGCATCTGTATCTGTATCTGTATCTTCAGAAGCGCTCTACCTGGCTAACCTGGCTACCTTGGTGTGATGAATTTTCTACCCAACTCCATCTATTAAACACTTATTTGCGTGTCAACTTAGCAATCAGCGTCTAGTCAGCATACCTATATGGTGCAGTTCTACACGAACGGGTCTGTTTATCCGCTATAACCTGTTCGTGTAGCGTTGCAGGCATTCATTTGACGTGCACAGTGTCTGTTTTTCGCTTGTTCATGGGGTCTTGCGCAAGCAGCATCACCCGTCTGGCCCGCTATGAAAGGGAAGACATCGCCGTCATATGACGCAACGACACCGTCGTTTTTGTCACGTCACCGACGCATCAATGGCTCGCGACCTGTGAGACATGGACCAAGGACACATCGAATCATGAATTCCCCTGTGTGTGATAATTACGCATATAAGAACAGTGAGTAATGAGTAATGACTACTGGATATAGGTACAGAGCTAGCGACGGCGACAGTGTCATGGCAGTATTTTTCATAAATGCCCACTGATCTGTGTCTGCTGTGCTTCCCTCGGCGCCCGGCGGTGCTAGGCGGATGTAGGTAGTTCAGTTGGATTTATAAATAGCCAAAAGACTTATCCTGAGACGTCTCAAAGCTCTGGTATCTTGTGACGTTCTTACGAATCCGCTTTGCAACCGTTAACCCGCGCCCTGCTGGGGGGGGGGTGTTTGAACACCCCCCCTTGTGGTTTTTCGCGAATATCTCAAAAACGGCGGCGCGGAGCGCCGCCGTTTTTGGTACACCTTATCATACATCAATTCTACACATGTTGTGAAAATTTCAGACCAAGGTCATTCAAGGTCAGGTCACCAGGTCACTTGAAGTGACCTCACCTCATAAAAAGTTTCAATGTCTGTCATTGTTACACCGAGTGACCGATCGCTTTGAAACTTTCAGCGATTGCTAAGAGCAATAGCATGTACAAAATGTATATCTCAGAATTTTTATATCGATGACCTAAGGTCAGGTCAATTTTGCGACCTCCCCATTATAAGTCAATGGGAGAAAATTGAAATGCGCCTCTTTTGGACGAAAGACATTATAAACACTTCCAAACACTGAATTACAAGTGTTTTAGACACACTGAACATGAAAATGGTGTCCGTGACCCCTGTTTATGCCCTGAGGTCATCTTGGGTCACGAATGGTATCTAACAGTTTTTTCGCAAATAACTTTTGATAGAGGCATGCTAGAGCGATGAAAACGCCTTAGATGTGTTCAGCTCGACGATACGGATCGACTGATATGCAACATGACCCTTTCCGGTCAGGTCATGACCTTGACCTGAGGTCAAATTTTCAAGTTGACCTTTCAAGGTCAAGTTAAAGTTCATTCGATGCGTCTTGACGAGAGACACACGATGCCGGTAAAAGTAAGCTCGTACAAGGCTTGGGTCAAAAGTTATCGCAAAAAAACTGTTTCAGAAAAAATCGGCTATTTTGGCAGTTTTTGCCCCTGCAGGCAAAACCGTTGAAGATAGGTCAATTCTGAGAGAACTCAGGAAGGGTGTTAATAGGGCTATCGAATGCGCTTTTCCGCTGCGCTGTAGCTCTATTGGTTCCCGAGTTATGCGTTGGCTTCTTGGAAATTTTCTACATTCGACCTGGAAATCGGCGAAATTTTGCCTTCAATGACCTCTGGTGACCTGACCTTTGACCTGACCAAAAAATTGACCGAAGTGATTTCGTCATTATTTTTGACGCTCTTTCGAACGCCGCCTTCCGCGTATCGCTACGTGGCCCAGGAGCCGAGTTAGAAGGGGGGGGTGTTCAAACACCCCCCAGCAGGGCGTGGAGATCCAGGACCCCCAGCCGGGCGCGGGTTAATGTGCATTAATTCGCCCCTTGTCGGCATAGAAAGAAAGGTAAGGAAGGTAAGGGAGGTGCATCTTCTTCAGTGTTAATTAATAAATAGGTATCACAAAAAGGTAGGTGCTGAAAATTGATATGGCTAATAAAGAAACGCCTTTTGGGCAGCACACGTGCGAGAGAGACAGTGACCCACTGGTGCAGGTGCTAAAGTGCAATGCGGGACCTCCAGGCTATCAACTAACTTGTGCGGGTCACTTTTTTAACCGATCAATAAACAGGTCAGGTCAGGTCAACCAGTAGGCGTCGTGACGGGAATTCGTAGTACGTGTCAACCGCCTCTGACAGCTTCGTAACATGTTACGAAGGCACCAAAACTACTTCGTAAATGTTCAAATGGTTGCTAAATTCGAATTCAGCTCCAAAAACTAGCCTAGAAACATGTAAAACTCGAAAAAGTGAACCGAGGTCACCCGAGGTCACCAAGGGTCAATGACCTGACCTGACCTTCAGGTGACCTTGACACCCACCCTAATGCATGGGAGCAACATCAAATCACATGTTTGAACGTTTGAAACCACGAAAAGCTTGCAAACGCGCGGCTAATACGAGCCGACATACGCGGAATCGCGATTCCGGCCAAACATGGTCTCGGAAAAGAGGTCACAGGTCAAAGGTCATTTGGGTCAGAGTCATGAAATTTTCAGGGTAGGTGTAAAATTGATCAATGCGAGGGTACTGAAAGTTTCGTCGCAATCAGCCGCTTTTTACGCGAGTTATTTGCGAAAAACCATGGGGGGTCCATCCGACCCCCCCTACACATGCGAGGGTTAATGATCTGAAAGCAAAACAGTTTATTTATATTTATTGAATGTAAGAAGTCGTAGGACATATCGATCATTTGAGCAGCAAATAATTCCAATGCAATTATGATGCAACTTTTCTGATCATATATGAAATTTTGGAAACTATTGGACGGAAACTCATATATCAAAATATCGTTTGCAAGCTAACAATGTAAATGTATGCGACGTTAGGCGGCACGGGCGGACATCGATAGCAGCGCCTCTATCGGTCACTAGGGAAAGCTGGGCTGTAGGCGACGAAATACCGGCTGAGTTGTCACAAGTTAAATAGGTTTATAGACATCCGTCTTGTGAAAAAGTTGAACTTTTGTCTTCAATATTTCTACAGGCAATTTTAGAAGTGCCTGCACATAGATTACAAAACCGTTTAAATTATTTTATTCACTTCAAGCCTTCCCTATTGTTCTTGATGATGCGGGAACTATTTCTAATTAGTGTTTCTAGCTTAGTAAAAGAACATATTGTGCAAACGATGAAAAAAGCATAAATGGAAGATTTTAAATGCAATTTTCTGTAACAAATAATGGTAAATTCTCTACACATCAAGGAAAAGGTGCATGCTAACTGATAATTTAAAGTTCTTGGGGCCAGCTGGTTTCTTCTTTTCTTACGTCGCCCCAATAGCCGCGAATACACTTGTGATAACGCCTATCGAGCCAATGTATTTTCATCGACAGAGATACACATTACACAATACACGTTTCACAAGCAGCCATTGCTAACGCTAATAGCTGGAGACCACTCAACCTAAATGCAAGAACAAAAAAAAAAAAAAAAAAAACACTGAGCACATGTCACAAGTGCTAAAACGCACGTCTATCTCTTGGCACCGCGAACTGCTTTATGAGCACATCCAAACCACATACGCACATTGCGAAAGAAACAATGATTTAGCAAGGTGTTCTTTCAGTCAGCCTGCGAGCTTAGTTGATGAACTGTCCCAGAACTTGCACCTGCTGGCTGTCAAACTGGTTACTGAATTGCTGGTTATCGAACTGCTGACTGCTGAACTGCTGGTTATCGAACTGCTGGCTGCTGAACTGCTGGTTGTCAAACTGCTGCGGCTGCTGCTGGATGACGGCTCCTCCGTTCTCGGCCCAGAAGAGCTCCGGGTGCTCCTGCCTCAGCTGGGCGTACTCGGGAATCTGAGCCGGCGCCACTGGCAGGTGGGCGGCCTGCGGCTGGAAGCCACCCTCGTTGGCGGTGTAGTCCACACGGTAGGTGTTGCCGTCGTCACCGACGAACTCGAAGCTTCCCTGCTGCTCCAGGCTTCCGGTTTCAGGCTGGGAGCCCGGGGTCGAGCGTCCCACCTGCTCAGCCTGAGGAGCACACAAAACCGCTTATGTCAAACGAGTTGTTTACTGCAGACGAGCATCCTGGAACGTTGGCGCATAGCAACACCAGTAGCATAAAGCTTCACCCGGGACTTTTTCGGAGGGCCAGGATACAAGAGGATTTGGACTTGTGGAAGTATTAGTGATAGCTGGAGGTTTGGAAGGCCAAAAGTTTGCCGAGAAAGCGAAGACTGTTTGTGGTCTATAGCCTACCGCATTCCTGTCGTTGCCTCAAGTATCATATAACTTATTGTTGCATCATTTACCGTGTTTATGTAACTTACTCGTACTTTCCCATCAAGGGTGGCGATAAAACTATGGAATCTAGCGCCTCTGAGGGTGTGAGTATTGCAAAAAGACATCTCAAGTGAGCGAGTCTTACGTCGCATATTTCACACTATTGCCAGACGTGCGACCTCCAAACCTTCTCAGCACAGAAGGGAAAGCATTTGTAAATCCTCACAAGCCTTTGTAAATCTGCACCCGACTGAAACTGGACATCCCATAACGGATGCGCGGCATAGAATTGAGTCGAGAACATATAATGTTTCATTGTTTTAAAGTACACAATTAATATTTCAAGGGTATTTTGATAGTAACGGATCATAAAAGTGGTTCGGTAAAGTCCCCGTTTCTCAATTTTTTTTGGAACTAATGAATGAATGCTTTGTATGGATCGAACTTTGAATCAGGACCGACGGACCGTTAGCATTTGTAGAATGGATCGCTTGTGAAAAACTCTACGATTATGCGTACAATAGACGGAGGCTCCGTGCTTCCAGCAAAGTATATTTCTCAGATATTATTCCCATTACCCGACCGGTAGAATTCGCAGACATTTGTCCAGTATCTCACCTTCGTTCCGTCGCTCAGCTCGTAGGCGTACTGGAAGTTTCCCGTCTGATCCTGCTCAAACCGCGAGTTGACGGTCCTCACTCCATTGTTAGAACCAAAACTCTGTCCGCCGCTGACAAACTGTTGGTTGTTGTCGGTGACGAACTGGCCATCGCTGACAAACTGCTGGTTGTCGCTGACGAACTGGCCATCGCTGACGAACTGGTTGCCGTCGCTGACGAACTGCTGGTTGCCGAACTGGTCGACAAACTGCTGAGGAGCTGCCGCAGCCAGCGCAGCCAGACAAGAGATGACGAACTGAAACAAGATGGTAAAACGTGAAATGGGTAAAACGACGGTCATTATGAGACACTAAATCTTTATAACCAAAGAGCCAAAAATGATTAGAGAACTTTCCGTCTTTGAATACTTCTTTCCGGCGCAGCATATAATGTTTCCTTCGTGACTCCATCCACATTTCATTTCACCTACGTTGAATTACCCCACGAACCAGTGCTGATGCCTCTGATGCCTCTCCCTCTCTCTCTCTCTCTCTCTCTCTCTCTCTCTCTCTCTCTCTCTCTCTCTCTCTCTCTCTCTCTCTCTCTCTCTCTCTCTCTCTCTCTCTCCTTTCACTCACCAGCTTCATAGCTCCGTTTGCACGTGATGATAGAAGAAGCGCTGCCGACCGAAGAGTGATGTCCCTCACATTTCCCAGACGGCTTATAAGGCTGCCCCCGACCTCGACCCGCTGACCGCCACACGCCACCCGCACTGACCGGGTCACGTGACCGTCGGCAACGGCGCGCCGGTGTTACAGTAGCCAGTCACGTGGTTGTCCGAGTGCCGTGACCTGTCTGAGCGGGGGCCGGCGGTTGCGTGGTCGCCCGCGGCAACTGGGCGGGGAGATGAGAGAAGAGTGGACAGACGACTGCACGAAACTGGGGGACGACCTCCAATCGGGTAGCTGTCATGCACCGGTGGCTACATCGCTGCAGCTGATGTCCCGCTTATGAGGTGAAGGTGATGAAATCACACGGTCGGGTCTTCACCCTGTGTCTTCGTGCCGTCGTCCGGTCGATTGTGTTTTAATAACGGAGCTCTCAGTGCAGCTCTATCGCCACCGTGATGGTGATTATTTGTCACAAAGAGAGGTCGGTGCGCTGGTTTGCTCCTCATCTTCGCTCGTTATGAAAACAAAGCCAGTACATTCTTGTATGATGGCAAATAATGCGCGTTATAGCGCAAATCATTCGTGTCCTAATTGAGACACATATCTCTTTGAATGTTTAACGTGTCAAAATTGACATTGTGTTCATGGCACACAGATTGTGCGAATGATTCCTTCCTTCAGGTCGTTAGAGCAGATCTGAATCTAGCTGTCAGTTTCGTTAACCCTCGCTCGTATTGGTGTTTTTCCAGCCGCGAGCGTATACATATGCCCCCCTTCCCACCTGGTTGAGCTAGAGCTTTGTGGAAAAACGAGCGTGTTGCCAGTGACGAGAGAAAGCCGATGATGCCTAATTTTAAGGTCCTAGGTCATTGGTTGACCTTCCAGGTCAGGTCAATAACCCAAAAGTCGGGAAAATCGGACTCGTTAGAACGTCGTAAAGGATAGCTGCACACAGAAAAATATTGACACCGTTAGCGGTGTAATTGCACAGTACATATCTGAGCACTTGAGGAAAGTTAATTTAGTCCCTTCCCCGCTTAAATTACTCGCGCTTCCAAATGAACACCAGGAAGAAGGTAATAGAACACTGTTAGGAGGGTTGGGTGTTTTACTACATGTAGCAAAACACCCAACCCTCCTAACAGTGTTCTATTACCTTCTTCCTGGTGTTCATTTGGAAGCGCGAGTAATTTAAGCGGGGAAGGGACTAAATTAACTTTCCTCAAGTGCTCAGATATGTACTGTGCAATTACACCGCTAACGGTGTTAATATTTTTCTGTGTGTGCTATAAGGTTTTTCGGGGTGCTGATCACGAATATTATGTTAGTTTTGATCGCAGATGTTGCCTTCATGCATTTAGGCCAGGTCGGGTCAGGTCACGTCAACCAGTAGAAGTCCTGCCGAGTATTTGTAGTAGGTGTCAACCGCCTCTGACAGCTTCGTAACATGTTACAAAGGCACCAAAACTACTTCGCAAATGTTCATATGGTTGCTAAATTCGAATTCAGCTCCAAAACCTAGCCTAGAATCATGTAAAACTCGAAAAAGTGAACAGAGGTCACCAAAGGTCAATGACCTGACCTGTCCTTCAGGTGACCTTGACACCCACCCTAATGCATGGGACCAACACCATATCACATGTTTGAACGCTTAGAACCACTTCCGTTCGACTTAGAACCGTTCGACCCCCCCCCCCCTCTACGGGCGAGGGTTAGTACAATCGGCCGCTTTTTACGTGAGTTATTCGCGAAAAACCGAGGGGGTCCGTCGACCCCCCTCTACGGGCGAGGGTTAGCACTCCTAAAGTCGTGCTAGAACCACAGCCATGGGAGGACGTTATCTCGGACCTGTTGACGTAATTAGCCCTGGCCCCAGTGTGACCCGCTAAGAATAAGCCGTCGATCGATTTCAGTCGGTTGATGACCCGCAAGCTGGCCTGTCTTATAGTATGTTTCTGATGGAGTTTTACAGCGCGTTGTTTGAGATCAAGAATTTTGATTCAGGTCATCCAGGGCAAAGGTTTAGTATGCTGCATAAGCCTACAAAACATCCATTCATTTTTGTCTGTAAGATGTGCGCAGATTCTTGTGTGTTGGTTGTCGGGCATTTTTTGCACATCTGTGTCAAAATTTGCCGTAATCCAGGGTAATGCCGCATTCCGTATTCACGGACTTATCAGATGACACTACATACATGCATACAAGTATTCAGGAGTGTTATTCAAACTGCAGGAGGGGTTCGGCTGGATATTGAGTGAAGAAGGCATTTGGGTTTTAGTCATTTTTTTCACTTACATTTCTATTTTTGATAGATAATATTTATTCTTCAAGCCCTCTGATCAAGGCCGTATATAACGTTAGGTGATATGCAACCCCCTTAGTGCTAGTTTGTTGTTGGCCAACATTCAGCTGAACCAGATATCACGATGCATAGATTCGATTAATGACGAGTCACATGCTGATCAAATCACCTCATCTGCAATAATCCTTCTCCTTGGCGTACCAAATCCGATCAGCTCTAATCTGTGCCGCACTACCCAGTGCGTAAGTCGGATTGTGACATCCGATCCAGACATTTTCTCAACTCGGTCCACCCTCCGCAGAGCACTGCTCCCCACCCTCTGTGTCTACATGTCTGTGTGTCGGCGCAGCTCCTCACGGACTGTCCGTCACCCTTTCATTCTCCACCCGCTATGAGCCGTCACTGCGGTGCGGCACGTCTTGCTGTGATGAAACACCGCGGGGGGAAGCGTGGTGATTAATGACCCGGAGACGTTTCAACGACAGGCTACGTGCCATTCCGCACACTGAGCTCGTCAACCGCAGAACCACCTGTCTAGTGTCTGTCCTTCTTGAGTCATCTGTCCGTCTTGTCTGTCTCTGTCTCTGTCTTTGTCGCTGATCTTGTCTCTTCATTTTACCCTTATTACCTGCCTAGCTTCCTTTCTGCCCCTCCTTCTTCGCAACTGTCTATAAATGTGTAAACGATGGTATGCTAAATGCGTCTCTCGTTGCTGGCTTTGAAAACACCGACCGCGAATTGCTCAAGTGACGCGCACGCAACATGCCCCAAGGGCGAAGATGACTGTCAAATGCGCCTCTTTACAGAGGCGTGAAGCCTCTGAATGGACCCGACTGTGGTGACGTCATTTCAAACCGGTTCCGGAGCAATGCTCTCAGCGCAGAGGTCAGGTATTTGGAAGGCCGGTTTTATCAGATTGGATAACTTTATTATCAGTCCTGATTATGCGGTCAGCCGCATGCAAAGGTGATTATCACTGATGAGAACGGGTCATCCTCGTTTTTTAGAAAAACCTTGCTCCCATGTCGCAATGAGATTCACTTTAACCCTAGAACGCCTAGGGGGGGGGGGGGGGTTGTATCACCCCCCCCCCCTGAGGTTTTTTCGAAGTGCACGCTAAACGGCTTGTCGTAGCGGGCTGAAATTTTCAATACCCTCTGGGGCAACCTTTGCGCATCTTTTGCCGAAAAAAATTGATCGGGTCATGTCAGGTCACGGAGTTATGACGTCATAAGAGGTACAGCCTCCGGCCGACAGTTACCAAACGTGTGCGCCGAATCCCTAGGTTTTCTGCCGGTGATACCCACATTGTTTGATGGATCATGATGAAACTTCCCATGCATGTTGGGGCAAGCATTGGCTATCGTGTGGTGCAAGAAAATTGACCGGGTCAGGTCAGGTCAGGTCACGGAGCTATGACGTCACAAGAGGAACAGCGTCCGGTACTATTTTTGAAAAGCGCCCGAACCACTATTTTGCTAATTCTTGTCACCTCAATGGGAATATGCAGCAATATCAGCTTCTATAGGGAGCAAATGGACCTCCCAAATCCAAAAATACAATCAGATTTCAAAAATTTAAATTTTGATTTTTCGAATTTCTGCCGCCGACTGTGACCTTGCCGACTTCCGGCGCTCCCAACGCGCCATTTTTAGAGCTAGGGAAACGAAATACATACCAAACGATAGAGAATTGATCAAGGAACACGATAGTGAAGGTTTCAAGTCGATATCTCCCACCGTTTTGCCGCAATCGCCGCGGAAAGTTGAAAAAGTTTGATTTTTTCGGAAAATTTGACCTTTGACCGGTCATAAGTAGGTCAAATGTTGACCTAGGACCAAAAAAATATACCACCAATCGCGAGATCTCGTTGAGAGCAATCCGTTGGTTTTTTGCGCTAAGCTCTACGACCTTCCGTTTCGAAACGCCAGGGGGGGGGGTCGTAACAACCCCCCCTGGTCGTTCGTGTTATGAGAAATGGCCTGGTCGTGCGAGGGTTAATGCTTTGCTTTGTCAAGACACAAACACATTCTTGTCTTATGTCATGTCTTTTGAAGATATGATTGACAAGAGACGACTCTTCTGTCTGTCTTGATGGACACTGCACAGTCAAAGTTTATATAATGATTTATGTGCAATGTGCATTGGTATGCCTTTATACGTTGCTTTACAGTGGTGTAGCTATTTTGAATGGCTATTATAAATGCAGAGCTGTTATGTTCTCGTACGGATAAACTTAGCCCACCAAGACTGAGCATACTTAATATGTGAAGAGAAAGCTGAAAATATAAGAATGATACATGTGGGACATACTAATCCAGTACCTAGCCATCGCACACAATCGTTCAAGCAAACCATCGTTCAAGCAGAAATGAAAGAAAATGACAGTTAAGTATAAAAAACACAGTTATTACAACTTGACTGTCTCAGCGACGCGCATTCAGTCTACCGTGTAAATTCATTTAGCCCCCAAGTTGACTTCACCGAAGTCAACTTCTTCGGTGAAAAAGGTGAATTCTTCCCGTCCAAAGGCAGCCAATGGTCAGCCCTACAGGTCCCACAGTCCGACCCAGTGGTCCCAGTAGTCCGACCAGTCCCATCGATCCCACCTCTCCCGTCAATTTAGCAGCCACAGTCCACCATCTCTCCCCGGTACGAAAAGGTGAAGGTCGCCCGGTTAGCGCAGTTCCACTCTCACCGCAGTGGCACCGGTGCGCCACAAGTGTCATCATGGGCCACCCAGTGACGTCACTAATCTGCAGGTGTCACAAGCTGTCCCACTACATCACCTCTCGGTGATTGGGGCCGAATTCTTGATAGGTTACCTGTTTGAAATAGTTTGCTGATGAATAAGACATGCTTCTGTACAGTGAAGCTGCCTGACCTCAGAGGTAACCGGTTGACCTGAGAACCAAAAATGGGTTACATACAAGTCGCTGAGTCTGGAGCAACGCTCTCTTTTTCTCGTCTCGCTAAGCCCATCGGTTTTCCGGCCAAGGAGTTTGGGGTTTGGTCAGTGACCTTACCTGACCTGAAAATACAGCTGGTGTCAAAAGATCCAGCTTGAACCAAATGTCAGGTGTGACAACTTCCCGTTCTCAGCTTTCAGTTCTCAACAACTTTCAGATGGTTTCTAGAATTGACGAATAAAAACATTATGGGTCGTTGGACCGGGAAGGGTATACTGGGGGCGACTCGACAAGAGGGGTCGGAGCCGCCCCTAATAGTTAAGTGGTTTCGTTCTTATAGGTTCTCGCGCGCTGAGTACACATTTGCACACGTTTCAATATAACTGCCGGATGGTAGTGCTGTTTTCATTTCATTCGTCGGCATATCATACACATTCACAATTCGCATTTTTTCACAAGTCGCATCGTAACGTTTACTAAAAACGTGTAACAATAGGTCAAGAAACGTCTACAAACATCCACTACAAAACTTCGGTATTTACAGCCTAAAAGCTTATTTTCAACGCTCTCCCATCACCTAAGAAGCTGGTAAATGGCAAAGCACTCCCAGAACTTTGTGCCTAACAGCTTGGCCAAATTTGTGAGACATCGAGGTTTTAGTAGCGTCATGATTTCGGGGTTTTCGACTAAAAATGGCATATGCCTGAAAAATCATATAAAATCACGAAACAGACGTACGGACATGCGGTAAACGCCGTTCGACTGCCAATACCTGCATGTACAATCAATGCCTATCGTCGATTTGTCGTTGTCGTTCTACTCTTTCCAAAATCTTGAGGTGAGTCTTGGCAATTTTTCGTGACTGCTTGTCGACCATGATGCATGTATATTTTCAATTTATCTTTTTGACGAAACAAGCACTCGTATGATAAAATGAACGAACACCGTTCTACGCCGAAAATGCCCATAAAACATGTGTCATTTGCTGCAAATGCTCGGTTTCATTTTCGGGGATATGTTTTTACCTGGTTGACCTGACTTTGACCCTCACCAATGCCTGGCTGACCCATACAGGGATCCAAAATTCAAGCAGCACTTTATGAAAAGTTACAGTGTCGACGGAGTTTATGAGGAAAGACGGCCAGTACGAGGTTCTAAAGTTCATGCTATACTGAAAGCCCAACTTCAGGTGTCTGACCTGACCTTGACCCAGTGAGTGTCATCGAAATTCAATTTCTAGGTGCTAATCAGAAGCCTTTCGTCGCGCTCTTTCGTTTGCCGCCTCGCGCGTTTCGCTGTGCCTATTCGTTCTCGATCGGCTGGAGACATTTAACGTCCCCACCCCCCCCCCCCCGTGGAGGAGGCAGGTGGCGAAATACTCCAGCAACTGCCGGGTTAACACCTACATTGCAAGATTCCGAAGGGTTTAGAACACCACCCACCCACACATGGAAGTGCAAGTTGAGGCTGATCCAGCCGACATGTTCTGTGCGGCATGTTTCAGCGGGGGAAGATTAGCACGTTTGCTAACCGTGACCGGTCAGTCGGGGTTTTAGCCGTTACGGGCGGAGTATAGAGCCATTAGCCAATACCTGTGGGCGGCGGGAGGTCGGTATATAAGCTGCCTGCAGCCGTCCAGAGTTCATCCGATCCCAAAGGTTCCACCAGATCACAGCCATGCAGATGGTAGGTGTTCTCTCAGCTGCAAAAGGTGGCGAAGGTGCGATGTGTCTCCAGAAAGTGTTGGACTGTGGTGAATATGACAGCCGGTGACTTGCCTGGCGAAAAAGTAGAAAGTACTCAAGAGAAGAAGTGAAAAGTGCATTTTTTTTTTGTACGGTCACTCGATGTTTGCGTCTGTTTGTGTGCCGCGGCTGGTGCTTGTCAAGTGTCAACAGCCAGCTTACCACATCTATACAGAGCTCCTATTTTTCACCTTCAAGATATCTGATCTGAAAACATTGGCCTCCATCTGCTTGATGTTTGGTATTGACGATCTGCTTTTTCCACTTTCAGTTCGTTGCTTTCCTGCTGGTGGCGGCTGCCTCGGCGGCTCCTCAGTTCCAGCCTCAGTTCACCAGCCCCGTCCAGCCCTTCCAGCCGGAAGTCCGCATTCTCAGCCAGAAGTTTGAGCAGGATCAGATTGGAAACTACGAGTACGGATACCAGCAGGACAATGGACAGCAGGTAAAAGAGGAGTCCATTTTTGACGTGATGTGGAAAAAATAAAACAAATGCTTACTTTTTTATAACAGTTAAAGTCTTAGAATACTCATGCTCAGAGCATTTCATGTCAACAAATAAAATAAACGATTTGACTATGTTTATTTATGCATCTTATTGCCATAATAATTCTGCATTCTATTTTTGAGGAGCCATGTAAGCTCATCGGTCATTATGCTATTATAATGCAATGTAATCCCCGATTGAGACTTGGGAGCATGAAAAACCAGGATAAAGGTGGTGACAGTCTCTCCCATTGTTTTTAGGTACAGGAAGTTGGCCGCGTCCAGCCCGGCCCGCAGCCCGACACTGGATCTTTGGAGCAGCAGGGCAGCTACGAGTTCATCGGTGACGACGGCAACACCTACCGCGTCGACTATCTGGCCAATGAGGGTGGCTTCCAGCCGCAGGCCGCCCACCTGCCAGTGGCGCCGGCTCAGATTCCCGAGTACGCCCAGCTGAGGCAGGAGCACCCGGAGCTGTTCTGGGCTGAGAACCAGGGCGTCATCATCAACGACCAGCAGTTCATCCAGCAGCAGCAGTTCTTCTAGTGATGAAGCCTGAAGCACTGAAATGATTCTTTGACCGTCATCATCATCATCAATATCATCATCGTTATCATTTTATCATTATCATCACACTTACAAGCGAAGTGTTTTACCTATTCTTCCGGTGTCAGCCGTACATCATGTTACTGAAGTCATATACAATATACTCCGAATGTTTATCAACGATTGTCAATGGGTCAGAGACAGCGCTATTCTTTACCAATCGCGGCTAAATGCACTTCCCGATGCCTCGACCTTGTACAAGAACCAGAATTTTAAAGATGTGTTGTCACGTGAATGGAGCACGCTGGCCCTCTCACCGTCAGACTGGGACAGGGTCACGATCTTATAGTCACGATATAACTATAAGTGATAAAATTCTAACTGCTTGTAGGAGTGGTGTTTCTTTTCAATATTTACCAATTGAATCAAAACTATCGCTCGCCGGTCGAGGGGGTAGGAGCCGCCCCCAAAGCTGTTTTTTTTTGCGATAGCTCGGGACACTCCGGAGACACTAATAGACACTAAATAAGATTAAACATGGTGGTACCGGAGGACTGATTCAAGCCGCTCGTTTTTTTATGCGATGCTCTAGCTCCGTCAGAGGCGAAACGGCGAGAGAGATCATATCAAGTCCCTCCCCCTGGCCGGGGCATATGTAGAAAACCAATAGGTCCGGTGATGGCAGAATAGCCGCCTGCGTTAGCCCGATCAGACCTTATCGCTAGCTCATAAGACTTTGCAAAACTTTGAAGATTGCAAAACCGATCAGAAAACGCTCAAAATCAGTTTATCATGCGTCGGCAATATGAATTAGGAAAAATATTAGTGCTCCTATTATCCAAATCCCAAACGTCAGCCAAACGACCAATTAATTATTTACGGCAGAATTAACCCTCGCCCGTATTGGTGTTTTTCCTGCCGCGAACGTATAATAGGGGGGGGGGGGTCCGTTGGACCCCCCCCCTTGCCGTTTCGCCCCTGATCGAGCTAGAGCTTCGCGGAAATAACGAGCGTGTTGCCCGTGACGAGAGGAAGCCGATGATACCCAATTTTAAGGTCCTAGGTCATTGGTTGACCTTGCAGGTCAGGTCAACGACTCAAAAGTCTGGAAAATCGGGACCTGTTAGAACGTCGTAAAATGTGGCTTCTATAGGGTTTTTCGGGGTGCTGATCACGAATATCATGTTAGTTTTTATCACAGATGATGTCTTCATGCATTTAGGCCAGGTCGGGTCAGGTCAGGTCAGGTCAACCAGTAAGGGTATTCGGAGTAGGTGACAACCGCCTCTGACAGCTTCGTAACATGTTACGAAGGCACCAAAACTACTTCGTAAATCTTCATAATTCATATGGTTGCTAAATTCGAATTCAGCTAAAAAAAATTGGCCTAGAAACATGTAAAACTCGAAAAAGTGAACCGAGGTCATCAAAGGTCAATGACCTGACCTGACCTTCAGGTGACCTTGACACCCACCCTAATGCATGGGGGCAACATCATATCACATGTTTCAACGCTTGAAACCACGAAAAGACTGCAAACGCGCGGCTAATGCGAGCCGACATACGCCGAATCGCGATTCCGGCCAAACATGGTCTCGAAAAGTAGGTTGCAGGTCAAAGGTCATTTGGGTCAGGGTCATGAAAGTTTCAGGGTAGGTGTAAAATTGATGAACGCGAGGGTTCTGAAAGTTTCGTCGCGATCGGCCGCTTTTTACGCGAGTTATTCGCGAAAAACCATGGGGGGTCCGTTCAACCCCCCTATACGGGCGAGGGTTAATTAATGTCTTTATGTATAAGCGAAAATTGACAGGCAATAAAGGAAACCACATACAGGGTTAGACCGTAGTGAGCTAAGATTTTCGATGTTTTCCAAATGTACACATAACGTGGTAAATTACATATTAACCCGCGTCCTGCTGGGGGGGGTGTTTGAACACCCCCCCTTGTGGTTTTTCGCGAATATCTCAAAAACGGCGGCGCTCCGCGCCGCCGTTTTTGGTACACCTTATCATACATCAATTCTACACATGTTGTGAAAATTTCAGACCAAGGTCATTCAAGGTCAGGTCACCAGGTCACTTGAAGTGACCTCACCTCATAAAAAGTTTCAATGTCTGTCATAGCTACACCGAGTGACCGATCGCTTTGAAACTTTCAGCGATTGCTAAGAGCAATAGCATGTACAAAATGTATATCTCAGAATTTTGATATCGATGACCTAAGGTCAGGTCAATTTTGCGACCTCCCCATTATAAGTCAATGGGAGAAAATTGAAATGCGCCTCCTTTGGTCGAAAGACATTATAAACACTCCCAAACACTGAATTACAAGTGGTTTAGACACACTGAACATGAAAATGGTGTCCGTGACCCCTGTTTATGCCCTGAGGTCATCTAAGGTCACGAATGGTATCTAACAGTTTTTCGCAAATAACTTTTGATAGAGGCATGCTAGAGCGATGAAAACGCCTTAGATGTGTTCAGCTCGACGATACGGATCGACTGATATGCAACATGACCCTTTCCGGTCAGGTCATGACCTTGACCTGAGGTCAAATTTTTAAGTTGACCTTTCAAGGTCAAGTTATAGTTCATTCGATGCGTCTTGACGAGAGGAACACGATGCCGGTAAAAGTAAGCTCGTACAAGGCTTGGGTCAAAAGTTATTGCAGAAAAACTGTTTCCGAAAAAAATCGGCTATTTTTGCAGTTTTTGCCCCCTGCAGGCAAAACCGTTGACGTTAGGTCAAATCTGAGAAAATTTCTCAGAAAGGGCGTTAATAGGGCTATCGAATGCGCTTTTCCGCGGCGCTGTAGCTCTATTGGTTCCCGAGTTATGCGTTGGCTTCTTGGAAATTGTCGACATTCGACCTGGAAATCGGCGAAATTTTGCCTTCAATGACCTCTGGTGACCTGACCTTTGACCTGACCAAAAAATTGACCGAAGTGATTTCCTCATTATTTTTGACGCTCTTTCGAACGCCGCCTTCCGCGTATCGCTACGTGGCCCAGGAGCCGAGTTAGAAGGGGGGGGGGTGTTCAAACACCCCCCCCCCCCAGCAGGGCGTGGAAATCCAGGACCCCCAGCCGGGCGCGGGTTAACCCTCGCCGGACCTATTGGTTTTCTACATTCGCGCCGGCCGAGGGGGGGGTACGACCCCCCTCGCCGTTTCGCCCCTGGTAGAGCTAGCGCGTCGCGGAAAATACGAGCGTGTGCGCCGTTACGAGACGCAGAGATTGGTACCCGATTTTAAGGTCCTAGGTCAACCAATGACCTCTGAGGTCAGGTCAAGTGTCCCAAGGCACGGTTCAGTTTTTGGTGAATAACTTCGCAAAAAACGGCCGCAGAGCCGCGATTTTGACAGCATCGTATTCGCCTCGCTCAGGCGCGTCGAATGATATACTTTTTGTTCGGGGCAGGTCAACTTAGGGTGTTTACCTCAGGTCAAGGTCAGGTCAGCAACCCCAGGTCACGAAGTTGGTCAAAAGAGGTCATGTTGCATATCATTCGATTCGGCAGGTCTTCCTGAGTCCATTGGTGGCTTTCCCGACTCGCTAGCTCAATTTGATCAAGAATTATTGACGAAAAACTAATATGACCTTGATGACGTCATAAATGACGTCACGCAAGGTCAACATTGCAAAAGTGACGCATCTAACCTTGCATTTTGCAAAGAGTGCATCAAATCACGATTATGTGTGCTTGAGATAGTTGGAGATCGTTCCCGGCGCCAGAATAGCAGTTTGTATTTTTCCCTATTGACTTATAGGTAATGGTGAGGTCACGAAAATGACCTGACCTCATATGACCTTTAGGAAAAATCCGAGATATATAAGCTGTGAGACTCATAATGGATACTGGATCCTGCAAGTTTCATTTCCCTGTGACAACTCCTCTGGCAGTGAGGGCGTTGCGAAGTTGCGACATCTGAAGACCGTGCAGAGGTTTACTTATGACGTCATAAGTAAGTGACTTGACCTGACCCAAAAATGCGGTTGGTGTCGAAAGATCCGGCTCGAATCAAAGGTCAGGTATGCCAAGCTTCAGCTCTCTATCACCAGCGTGTTCGGAGCTATCGCGAAAAAACCTATGGGGGGGGGGGGCGGCACCGCCCCCCCCCCTCCAGCCGGGCGCGGGTTAAATACATTGCAGATTAGTCAAATATTACATTAGGAACTAACATCATACTACTCCCAGCAGCTCCATCTAACCAGCATCCTCTCACGCCAGCTCACCACCAAATATGTGCCATGTGTCGCTGCCAACTATCTTAGTATTTATTGCTGGGGATGAGAGGTCACGAGAGGTCGCATTCCGAACCGGTGCCGAAGGTGTAAAGCGGTCAGGTCACACTTGTGGCGGCGGTTAGTCGGGGTATATATGCGGCCTGCGTTAGTTCGGTCATCATCGAGGCCCCCAATCTCAGCAAGTCAGCCATGCAGAAGGTAGGTCTCGCTTCGTTGGTTTGGGAGGAAGAGCCTTGCGTTTACGAGCACGCAGGGGGCCATGTTAAGATAAATATGATGTGGGAATGATATTCGCAAGTGCGGTTTACGTATGCCCTTGTCCCATGCGCGGCTACAAGGCAGTTGAATATTTCATTTGTTTATGTCTACGCCACGTTGATACTCATTGCATGATTTTCAGTTTGTTCTCTTGCTCCTGCTGGCTACTGTACTGGCGGCCCCGCGGCTGAATAAGCACTTCCAGACCTTTGGCCAGCGGGTCAACCGTGCTCCTCAAGATCAAAGCGGAGACTCCATTCTTTCTCGGCAAGCGGTTCGGACAAGATCAGATCGGCAACTACGAGCGTCGTAGCCAGGTCAGCGGTCGTCAGTCAGCCGCCCCAGTCATGTACCGGGTCAGCGGAGCTGCACAGACTGCACGGGCTGCACGGACTGCACGGGCTGCACGGACTGCACGGACTGCACGGACTGCACGGGCTGCACGGACTGCACGGACTGCACGGACTGCACGGGCTGGTTACGGGAAGGAGCTTCCAGCCACAGCCGCGTAACTACCTGCCCGCG